AGCCAGATTCTTTGAAATAATGGCTGTAAACTGCAGAAGTGAGCAAGTTATTTTTAATGATCGACTCCAGGTAAACATAGCCTGAGAATTCCTATTTTCTGTTGCTAAACTGTGGCTGAATGCATTTCTGAGCTGAGGTCCTAGTCCTCGATCTTTCCTTCACAACATCAGATCATACAGAACACTAACTCATGACCAACCACATCATGGCAACATGGAACAAATATGGCTTCACTACAGAATGACTCATCAATGGAGCTTTTAAGAAAAAATCAAAAGAGGGGAATATGGGAGCTAAGATGGGAGTTACAGCTCTCAACCCTGTACTAAAACATAAAGCTGAGAGGTTATGAAAAAAGGGTTCTTATTTATAATTATCTGATGGTAGTTAAAACAAATGTCTGCCAGATTTGCAGCCCCTGCAGAGGGCCTCCATTTCCAAGATATGCTAACTAGCTATGATGTCTGAAATGCTCACACTTAATGTGAGAATTTTTATTATTTATTTTTGAAATTTTATTTGTGACGGTGTTTACATAGTTGAGAAGGATGCATGGCCACGTGGGCCACTGTTTAGGGTAGGCAGGTTTGAGGAATAGGGGAAAGTGGACAAGACTACTGTTTCCAATGTTGGAAGCAGAAGGAAAGGAATTCTTGCATATCACCCACACTGGGGGTGTCAGGCCTGAGATCACTCCATGGCTTTTTACTAACCACAAGGCATAAATTAGGTCTAACAGTAACAACTCAAAATCTAGAACTTATGGAACTATACCATAAAACAAAATAAAAAAGGTTAAAAAGAAGGAAGGGTGTAGTTCTGCTACTGACTGGCAAGATCTTTTGAGGAGTTAGTGGGGAGAAAGTAAGCAAGACCTGAAAAAACAAGTCAAATCTTCAGCCAACACTCTGCCTGTTCATAGTGTGTCCTCCCTGGATGCAGGAGAATAAACACAGCAGTATTCTGATCTTTCAGTCAGTACAGCCACTCATAAGAAAGGGCCTTGCCAATGCTCTTTCAGTGTTATAGAGAGCCTAGTGCTATGCACTTTTGCAGAAGATAAAATTAGATGAAAGAGAATCTGGCAGAGGCTGACAGAACATACTTACTGAGTGTTAAATTAAGACATAAATTTAAGTGCATTACAAAGATTATAAAAGGAATTTACTTCCATTCTTTCCCCACTATCCACTACTTTTCAAACCATTCCCAACATGTCAATGACACTGCTAGTCAATTTTGTTTAGGATCTTCAAGGGCTAAATCTAATGGGTGTTTCTCTGATATTATCCTACTGAACTCTCATTAACATATGAACTCCCATTAACATATGAACTTCATTTAACATGTGAACCCAGAACTCCTTCCTCCCTGGAACCTTCTCTTCTTCAGGGTTTCACGCCACTGTACAACCATGCTGGCATCACTTTCCTAGTGTTCTCTGCCAGCTGCTCATTTCTTGCCTCAACTGAAACAATTCCTCAAGGATTACTTATACCAAGGATTATTAATACTCTCCATGGTATTAGCCTAACTCTGCAAGGACAAAAACTTTCAGATCACAAAAGGAACTCAACAAATGCTTGCTTAATAAAGAAATGATTGTTTCCCCACAGTACTTGGAATAAAATTCAAAGTCCTTATACCATTCTTTATACCTTGCACAAGCTGGCTTCTGTTTACCTCTCAGCTGAGCTGCTCCCCTCCTAGCTCAGCTCTCAGCTCATTTAACATACTGTGTCCTGTGAGTGAAATGCTGTCATTTCCTTTTATGTTAAAGAGTTTATGAATGGGATAGGGAAACCTTTCTATTTAAGCCAGTGTCTGATTATCACCCCCTCAAACAGCAGCCAGAGAAGCACAGCACTTTTAATGCTGTATGCCAGTGACAAAAATTCATACTCATATCTCATGTCTTAACTTGAAGTTTCAAAAACTTACTCAAAGTTCCAATATTTTATTCTGAGACTATCCTAGCTTGATTAGATTGATAGTTTAAAAAAATATATATCTTAAATATAGCCTCTCTCGATCCTCTTATGATTCATGCTAGTTTTTTTTTCCCTCCTGCTCCCAACCCACTCTATCACTAACAGTTAAGGTCACGCAACTGAAGAAGCATTTGGATGCTGCCTTATGACAAAGACACCTGTCCCACAGAAGCCACAGTGACAGTTGCTGTACTTCCTTAAAACATTTTGTTTGTTCACAAGTCAGTCGGTTACCTGTGTACTTTCAAAGAAAACACTGACCATGGCACAAGCATGGCAACAGAAATAGTCATGCAGTTTTCACCCCAGAATATTATGGAATGTAACCAATAAAAGACTAATGCAAACAATTCTTTAGGTTGATCGTTTAGAGGTTAAAAACGAAAACCCCGTTTTAGAGTAGATTTAGGTATATAATCATTCCTAACTGACAAAGTAATCAGTTGCAAATACCCTGAAATTTATTACTTTACAGGTGGTTGCTTTAGAAACTGTTGTAAAAATAATGCCTGGGTGGCTTTATTTGTGAGATGGGGCTAATGAAACAAAATGTTTGAAAATAACATAATTTCTGCCTCATTTTAGCAGCAAAATTAAATAAAAACAGAAGAAACCATGAAGTAAAATTCTCTATTTACTTGTACTGAGAAATTTCTTTACTGATTTAACACAAAACATATAATGTCTGAAATATCCCCAGTTCACTTTAGCATCACACATTAACATTTCTTCTAAAGTAGTCGAAGTACATCACAACTTGAAACAGCACATGAGGTTCACATTTGAAGCTAATGTGAGTCACACATGTGCTAAATGCACAGCGCTGGCATACTCTGAGCAATCACCCAAATGTGTTAGTAGGTATGTACTTTGTACCATAACTTCAAAGAAAAGTCCACATTTGGAATACTGTTAGGTATAAAATCTTACAGAGATAAAATTAAGCCTGTATATGTGCAGTGCATAAACCAAATCATCAATATTCCATACATGCATTTTTCAACATTTGCCTTTTAAATGCTGATATTTTAGGCACAACAAGGTAAATCATTCAGGCATATCTACTAAACAACAAAAGATTTTTTGCGTTTTTTGACATTATTTTGACCTTGAATTACTATCCTGAGCAAGTATTTGGTATTAAAGAACATTAAAGAAGTAATAATGAAATTTTCAAGAAAAAATGATAGCTTTTATCAATTTACTTTGGGAAATTGATACCCTGTAAATTAGTTTTGAGTTTTAGTTATCTGTGAAACTAAGCAAGAAGCTTAAACAGAAGTATTGGTTAAATATAACTTACTACAACAAACACACAGTACTACCAATCCTAAGTGAGTTCTATTAAATGGAAAGGTAGAAATGTGCCAACTGTCCAGGTTGGACACGGTGCCTTTGGAGCATTGCTTTCTCACCGCTGCTAAACAGCAGTCCCCTCCAGGCTGGTGAGTCATGGAAGAAGCCCAGAGCAGACATGACAAGGCAAAAGTTACTTTATTGATCCCATCACTGCTACATCTAGGAAAATATTATTAAAAACTGGGAAAACAAAAAAGGAAAACTGAAGACATACAAAAAATTAAAGTATTATTAAATCTATGGAGGCGCAAGAAGAAATATCTACATTTGGAAGTAGTAAGAAGAAACAAAAAAATTGGTATTAACAGACTCAATCATAAAGTAAAATCTTCTAGTTATAAAAATATATGATATAATCAAGCAATGAGCTAGCAAAATTACTATACCAGAAGGATGACGATTATGCATGTAAGGGCAAAAATGCACATGTAAAAAAAGTGGTATCACTTGTCTTTATACATGATTTTAGAAAAATGCTTTTAAACAAATGCTATACTAAATAGATTTTTAAAAAGGGGGGAAATTCCAAAACAACAAAGAATAAAAAAGACAATTAACACATAATCAAATATACAAAAGCAAGGCATGCACTAAAACAACAAGTTAACAGTTATATTACTAAAATACCGCAAATGAGTATGTAGAAAAGCTGTTACTTTCATATGCTGATAATGTGTACATTGTGAAAAACTACAACAATTAGTACAATGCTTTTAGAAAGAGGTTAGCACTGCGTATAAAAGCAGTAAAATGCTCACTTTTTGACTGATCCATTTAATTTCATTCTTAGAACTCTATGTTGAGGAAGTAATTGTGAATAAAGAGAAACCTATAATAATAACAATAAAGCTGTAATGATGTGAAAAACCTTTACAGAGTAGCTTCATTATGGGATGTAATTTACTTGCCAAAAATACAAAAAATTTCTAAAAATTGTATAAAGTCATTTACTTACCTGAGAGACAAAAATAAACAGAGTGGGAGAGCTCTCAATTGTTGTTTTACACCCCAAACACCCTCTACAGTTGGGACCTGGCTAGGCAGCTGCAGTAAACTGGGACCCCAAACCACGTTTCCCACATGGATGATGGAAACCAACCACTTGAGCTATCACTGTTACTTTCCAAGGCTGACAATCAGTAGCCAGCTAGAGTTAAGAACCAAGAATAATATTAAACGCAGGCACTTACTATTTAGAACTTTAATAGTAGCTCTTACCTCATAAAAGGAAAATAGTGGGCTTTTAAATTTTTATATACTGAATACTTTCTAAATAAAAAACATTGCTTCATTGTACAGCTTTTAAAAGATAATTTTGTAAAACTAACTTAAGTTGCATGAGAGCAGGGGAATACTCAACGACTATGGAAACTTAGTGTATTCTAAAATATATGTAAATAATGACATTGCAGGAAAACTCATGACCATATGCATATAAAATAAACACCTGGTGAAAAAACACTGGAAGAAAATATTCAGCTGTGTTAAAGTAGCAGTATATAACACATTTCTTCTTAATACTTTTTCTAAATTTGTATTATTTTACACCTTCACTACAAAATTAAACAAGTTAAATATTTTATTTCTATTACAACAGGATATAAATTGATCGAATGTGTCTAAAATAGAAGACAAAATGCATTCCTTACCTCTCTTTCATCCATATTCAACCACTGCTTTGGATCTTCTTCGGTAGCCAGAAAAGCTATTAATTCCAAGGCAGTAAGACGAGTCTGACGTCTTGATGAGACAAATATCAAAACAGGTTTGGCTGGAGAATGGCTTCGAATTGCTGTTGAAAAGTTATGAAAAATTAAATGTCTAGCCATGTAGCATTAGAATATGTTTCATTAGGAAACAAAAATATATAAATGAAAATGAAATGTTATAACTGATTCAGAAGAGTTTTTCATTTAGCCATGTAATGTAGAAGCATTCTAGATATATCATACATCTCACAATGAATTCAACAGATGACAGGAAAGGTGAGGCTGCTGGCTCTACTTCGGTTTTCCAAGAATATAGTAGATGTACTTGCTCTGGTTTCAAGTTCTTAGTTGAATTGCCAAGGAAGGGGGAAAAAAAGTCAAGATTCCATTAAGAATCATTCATGCACATCACACCTTAGGTTCAGTTTTCCATTACTAAATTACGTTTCCGACACAGAGAGAGCCAAATCCAATGGGGTAAAAAAACCCAAGAAAGGTCATTAAAAAAGTGAAAAAACAGGGCCTGAGGCGGTGGCGCAAGTGGTTAAAGGTCCTCACCTTGCACGCCCAGGATCCCATATGGGCACCGGTTCTAATCCCGGCAGCCCCGCTTCCCTTCCAGCTCCCTGCCTGTGGCCTGGGAAAGCAGTCAAGGACGGCCCAAAGCTTTGGGACCCTGCACCCACGTGGGAGACCCGGAAGAGGCTCCTGGCTTCAGACCGGCATAGTATTGGCCATTGAGCTCACTTGGGGAGTGAATCATCAGACAGAAGATCTTCCTCTCTGTCTCTCCTCTCTGTATATCCGCCTTCCCAATGAAAAAATAATAAAAATAAATCTTTAAAAAAAAGTGAAAAAACAATGGATTTCCTTTCTTTTGTCAGTAGATATAAAAATTAGGACAATCTGTCTCATAAGATGGGTAAAGGGATAAATTAGAATATCTTCCTTCTGTTTTTCTCAACCATATGTGTGAGGTCTCAAGTAGAAGATAAAAAAGAGGGCTGAAGAGAATACCAGAATACCATGCTCAGGTGTAGTTGAGAAAGAAGAGATGAGTAGTTCAAAACTTGGGTAAGAAGACTGAAGGAAGTTTTGTGGATGAAAGTTTTAAGCAGTACTTACTTAAAACACCAAATACGTCTCTTGACTTAACTTGAAATGACCCAACTAGAATTTGGCTCAGATAACTTAAAATAATTGATTTTTAAAAATCTGTATATAAAAAGTCCAACCACCAGATTTCTTGTTTGAATTGTGAGCTGCAGAACTTATTTTTATGGGTTGTGAAAAAAGAATAACAATAGAAAAATAGGCATGACCTTGACTATATTTATACCCTGGCATTGAAACATCAAGCTACCACAAAATCTATATTTCTAAGCCCAAAGAGAGATGGTTACCACTGTATACATAATGAACACTTTAAAGGATAGCTGCTACCATATCTAAAATGTATTTCAGTTATTTACACTGATTTACATAACATGAAATGCTTCATTGTCATCTATAGTATATAACCACTCAACAGAAAGGCAATTTCAAAAAATAGAATGTAAACTCTCATTTATTTCTTATTTTCATCATGCAGCAACACACACACACAACGTAAATGCAAAAGCTCTGATAAATCAGATTAGAGATCAAATGTGTAAAATATACATATTACTACAATATTGCTATCATTTGTACACCTAATCATGAATGGATATCTTTCTTTTTAAAGCTCCACATTTAATGGATTTTTGCTGCTGCAAGAACAGGTGTGGTTGAACAGCTCAGGACAGATTTATTGTTCATTAGTGATTTTGTACAATGCTTCTGTGGAGGTGTAAATAATCTGAACTGCCAAGATTGGTCTCTGGTTTACAATCAATACTTTGCTTCTGTCACACGGCTAATTACAACAGCTAAAAAGTCACCTCACAGCCGTCAACTCAAAATCAACAGCAGTTCACATTAGACGATTTATTTTGGAGATAATTTTTAATTGACACAATAAATATTCCTTATGTAGCCTAAGTTAAACATATTTTAATAAAATAGGAGTGCTATTCTCAAACCTTTCCTGTTTTCCTAATTTCCTAGAGAATGAAAACAAAACAATGCAGAAATACTGTATAATTCAATTGTTCACTGAATTTTAAGTTTTATGTTTTCTGCTAAAATTACAACTTGATTTTTTTAAAACTTGAAGAATCTATCAGCATTTGATCAAGCTCCTAACTAGTGTAAGAAATCACTTTTACAGATTAATAATGATTTTATTACTGGTTTTCCATTTATATAGTGTATCTCGTGAAAAATTTTTTACTCTAACATATTACTGTTTATTTCCAAGTCATAGTTAACTGAACTATTTGTGCTTTTTTTTTGTTTTTTAAATACAACACAATCTGAGATAATCCTAGATTCCCACACAGTTGGTAGAACACAGACCCTATGTGCCCTTTGCTCCATTTTCCCCCAACACTACCAGCTTGATCTACAAAATTGTTGTTGCTGATTGGAACCAGAACATCAGTTTTGATGAATTCAAGACACTTTCTGTAACATTCAACAGGCAATTTAATAAATTATTTGTGTTTCTTAACAGCTGGGATAATCACTTTACACACTTGTTAAATGGAGCAGGATCAATCTTTCAAAGAAAATTCAATCATTTATAATGCATTTGATATCTGCCTTAAAAATCTGACTACTATTTCGTTTCATGAACTGATGCTTACCCTGAAATGCAGGCTTGTTCATACTAGCCATACGAGGACAGTAATGCTGCCCTGGGAAACCCTGGATGTGGACTTCCAGTGGGACGGGGCGCACTGATGGTCGGAAGTTGAACAAACCCATCTAGATAAAGTACAAGAGAGAAAGCATTTTCAATTTCTATATTTAAGTTTAGAATTATATAATGCCTTATTAATGTGACTGCCTAAGCCACACTACAAGTTTCTAATTTATAAATAGTCTACATACTTGTTTGATATTTAGCCAGTCAGCAAGGTCTCTGGCATTAGCTAATGCAGTAGACAGTCCAACTATTCTAACAGGTTTTTCTGTGTGTGATGAGATGAAATTCGTTCGTGATACAATGACCTCAAGGACAGGACCTCTTTCCTCCCCTAGGAAACAGTAATAGTGAAAGTTAATTATTTAACAAATCCATAGTAGCCTTTGCAAACATTTAAGTCAAAGCCTGTAGGTTCTCTACACCTCCCCAACACACACACACACACCCCACTCTACTATAAGATCTAGCAATCCCACTTCTGGATGTATATCCAACGGAGTTTAAATCAACTGTGCTCATTATGGCATTACTTATAATGATCCAAATATTTATCTACCTAGGAATCTCCTACTACATGAATGGACAAAGACAGTGTATAGATACATAGAAATACAACGGAATAATATTCAGCCTCAATAAAGAAGGAAATTGTGTCATTTGTGTTATCAATCAACTTGGGGGACAGGCAAATACTACAAGAACTGACTGAAGCTTGGATTCAAGACAAAAACTCAAACTCATGGAATCAAAGAGTAGAATGATGGCTATCAGAGACTGAGGAGGTCTGAAGAAGTAATATGAATTTCTAATTAAAAGATAAAAAGTTTCAGCTAAATAAGTGAAATAAGTGTATAAGATCTATTGTATAGAAAGGTAATTATAGTTACTAGATTGCATATTAAGAGTTCATCTGTAATGTTTCAGCAAAAAAATTGTGAGGTAATGGACATGTTACTAAGCTTTATTTATGTATCCTATATTGTACACATTTATTAACATATTGTACCCCCATACATACATATAATTATCATGTCAGTTAAATTATTAGAGCCATTTTAACACTGAAAGTAGAAGTCTGTACACCAGCTTCAGTGTGGTACTCACCAAGCAAATGGATCTCATCTATGATGAGAATAGTGACTTGCTGAACATAATTCCTATTTTGCCAGCTTCTGCTGACTCCATCCCACTTCTCTGGTGTTGTGACAATAAGGTCAGCCTTGGCAATGGATTTCATATCAGGAGTTACATCTCCTGTTAGTTCAATAACACTGGAAGGACAATCAAAATGATTTTTTTAATCCCTCAGGTGACACATAAGCTTGAAAAGGCAAAAATATTTCTTTGAAAATTAGATTCTATAATGCTTAACACTATTTTATCTCCTGCTTAACTGAAAACAGAACTTTAAGATGATTTTTTGCCAAAACTGATAATTATATAAATCCAAATCATTGACATATTTAATTTCTGTACAGAAGTGCAAGCAAAGGTGTCAACTTCTGCTTTATGCTTACAGAACGTCTTCCCTATCTTGCAGAGGGAAAATAGGGAACAGAAACACTTTTGCAAACCCGGAAGACTCAGTATAATACATAGGAAAACATGGAGGGCAATTACATTTTAAATAGTTACTAAATATTTCTACATCGATGTTAGGATTTGTAAAGCAGAACAAAGCCTGGTTTTAGGATCTGTTGCTGTGGCGCAGTAAGCTTAACTGCTGTTTAAAATGCTGGGATCCCATTTTGGAGAGTTGGTTCCAGTCAGCTTCCTAATGGGACTGGGAAAGCAGTGGATAATGCTTCCATTCTGGGAGAACCAGATGGAGTTCTGGGATCCTTGTTTTGGTGTGGACAAGCCCTGTTTGCTGTGGCTATTTGGGGCAGGAGAAAGCAAAAGGAAGATCTAAGTGTGACTCTCCCCCGTCTATCACTCTGCCTTTCTTCTCCTTTTTAATTTTTTAAATAAAAAATAAAAAAAAAATGATGACATGGTTCTACAGGCACAGGGATTCCTCCTTCCATCCCTCCCTCCTTCCCCTCCATATGCCCCCATATTATTACAATAATATAGTCCTTCTGCAATAGTCACAAGTCCAACATTCTGCTGTTTAAGTATATCATGGCATTGTAGGTATAGACAATGGTAGAAAGCCTGGTATCCTATTGTCAAGATAAATAGCTTCATTAAGAATCCTCCTTTTATTAGTGAGTAGAGATGCATAAAAATATCATTTTTTAAAAGACTGGTTAAAGCATTTAGTTACTTTTATTCATTATAAAGATGTTTACATCTGTCCACATCTGTGGAATCAATCAACTATGAATTAAATATATTTCTTAAAAAATCATGTCTGCTCTGAATACACATAGAATTTTTCCATGTGATCATTTTTTAAACAATGCAGTATAAAAGTCATTAACAGGGGCCAATATTGTAGTGAGGCAGATTAACGAAGGCATCCCATATCAGAGTGTCAGCCAGAGTCTTTGGTGCCATATTTCAATACCATTCCCTATTGAAGGCACCTGGGAAGGAATGGATGATGGCTTAAATACTGCAGCCACTGCCAACCATGAGGGAAACTAGAATGTAGTTCCTCACTTCTGGCTTTGGGCTGCCTCAATCTTGGCTGTTGTGTGTATGCCTGGAATGAACCAACAGATGGAAGATTTCCCTATTTTTACTTTTCAAATAAAGAAATAATTATTAGCATGTTTTAGGTATTCTAGATCATCTAGTGAACAGGAGAATACATGTAAGTTACATAAAAATGCTATACCATACTATAAAATGAACTTGATAATCTTTAGATTTTGGTATATTTAGGGTACGGTGGAAATAATTCCCCACATACTGCAGTGGATGACCATATTAATATGGGTCAAGGAATATGGAGTTAACAGTCTATAGCATTCCTGCCCTACAGCCAGTTATTATTCTGAAGTTATCACATATTCACTTTCTTTTGTACAACCCAAAAGAGAATATTAGGTTTAAATGTTTTAAATATAATCTCTGGAAATCACTCCTTATGTTTAGATTGCTCCCATCCTTTCCCGTCCTTCTAGAGAGTAATATAATATAATAAATAACCTTTTCCTAGAATTAATGTTAACTAAAAGCTCATTAATTCTCTAAAGAACTTCCATACTTTTACACAAATTACGCCCTAAATGGTATCTGGAAGTTATTCTGAAAAAACACACTAGGAAAACAAAATATGAAAATACTCATAAGAAATAACTGAAGATATTTCAGTTTTCAATCAGAAAACAATGGAAATACTCATGTCATTTTAATAATTACATATCTTTAAATAAAAGAATGAAGAGAACCATTATAAATATACCCAATGGCTTTATGTGATCCTTTCATTTGTTAGTCTTTATCGATCACCTAAAGCATATTTTTTGAAAAGAAGTAAAAACTTACTTTTTTCCAAGTTTTTCTTCTATTCTAACTTTCCAATCATCCATTCTTTCACGTACTAGAGCTTTTAGGGGTGCAATATATACTGCCTAAAAGAGGGATAACAGGAAAAAGAGTTTTATGAAAACAGTGACAATATTTTTAGTTAAAGTGAACTTAAGAAAATCTGTCAAAATATGACAGTGTGATTTTAAAGCATATCTTTTAAGTCTGAGCACTAAATTTTTATATTAACAAGAAAACGTTATTAACTTAAAGCACTACTAGGCAAACCAGCCTGAATTTACTTATTTAACAATTTATAACAAAACAGCATATTGTATACCCTAAGGATAATGAAATATATGTAACATATAACATAATGTTAAATGTAATATAATATAGAAATATATATTTAAAATAATACGGGGAGACACATAAACAAAAATATCGTGTTTTAAGTAAGCTTCAAGTCAATATTTACTTGACTTGCAATGTTTTTAAATTTTTTAATAAAAATTTTATTTATTGGAAAGGCAGATTTACAGAGAGAATGAGAGACAGAGAGAAAGATCTTCCATCCACTCTTTCACATCCCAAGTGGCTGCAATGGCTGGAGCTGAGCCAAACCGAAGCCAGGAGTTTCTTCTGGGTCTCCCATGTGGGTGTAGGGTCCCAAGGTTTTGGGTTATTATCTACTGCTTTCCCAGGACACAAGCAGGGATTTGGGAGGAAAGTGGAGCAGTTGGGATATGAATCGGTGCTCATATGGGATTGTGATACATGTAAGATGAGGACTTTAGCTACTAGACTATCATGCCTGGCCTTCCTATCATACGAATTTGACTATAGCTATTATAAATAAATATTGCTAGGAATTATTTGTTATACAACACTTTTTCTGAGTTATAGTTATTATATATTGAAATTATGTGTGGGTGCCACTATGCACATTAAAAATTCAACTCACTATACATATTTTGTAATGAATCATGTTTAAAATTTTAAAAATTCAACCAGAGAACTACACAGTTTAAGATGAAATTTCTTACATTAAATTATTTCAACACTAAAGTGACAAATGTACTCATTGTACTTCCAGCATATATAGAACTGACTAGTTTAGAATTTATGAACTTACTTTAATGATTAAATGAAAGCATACAATTTTTTTCAACAACAAACCTTTGAGGTAGGGTACTTGTTGAAGACTCTGAAAATGGCTAATTCAGCAGCAACAGTCTTCCCTGATCCAGTGGGTGCTCCAAGTAGCACATTACAGTCCGTGTGATATAGTGTGTGAAATATTTGTGTCTGTACAGGGTTGAAGTGGGTAAAATTGTATAAGGCTTCATAGGCTTTACAACCCAAGGCTGTAATTGGTAGAGGTTGAAGATCTAGTAATTCTGAAAAGATCAAACAAGTATCACTATATAAAAATTGAAAAACATGAACGCTATTAATACTGTATTTTACATGTTTACAACAGTTCTTAGTTCTTCAGAGATGAAATAAAAGCTTAACATAAAACTTGTATGCCAATGGTAGATTTTTTTCCCCATCTCCATATGTATCATAATGACATTCTCTAACTTTTTGGGCATTTCCTCTGAATCAACCACAATACCCTTTATCTCTCTTCTAATCAGAAAAGTAACTTAAATATCTAGCTCCATTTGTAAATAAATAAAAACCATTTGCAAACTTCTCTAACAGAACAGTTACTAACCACAAAATGCTTGGATTCAGTTGGACAGTGACCTAACCAGAGTAGTTGAGGAAGCCAGTGTTATAACCAAAGGAAGTTGAAAGCAATTTAGGATAATTGCAGGATATAAATTTGGGTGGGGGAGTTCTAGGGCAGAGCATGACTGAGTAAAAACTGGGGCTGCGGTATGGTGGGTAAAATCGCAGTCTTCAATATTGTAGCGCCCAGTTTGAGTTTTGACTGCTCTACTTTCAATCAAGCTTCCTGTTAAGAGCCTGGGAAAACAGTGGAAGATGGTTCACATGCTTGGGTTCTACCACCCCTGGGGAGACCTGGAAGTTAACTAATTTAGCATATAGTTGAGTGTCCCTACTCCAAAAAATCTAAAATTAGAAATGCTCCAAGATGTGCAACTTTTTGAGGGCTGACACATGTTGAAATATGGGCAGAAAGTTTCACACTTTATTTCAATATGATATGAGTAACACTGAAAAACATACACTAAAAATACTGTATAACATACATAATTAAAATTCAAGCTATGTTTGTAAAGTGTGTATGCAGCATATATGGATTTTAGCTTTAGACTTGGGTTCTTAATTTGAAAAAACTGGAAACCTTCCAGTTCCCATCCTTTTGGATAACGGACATGCAACTAGAAAAAATTGTAAGTAAATTTGAGTAAGTCCAAGCAAAAGAAGATATCTAGAGATTTTCAGAGGGTATACATTCAGTCATAAACATTTGGAATGAAAAAGCAGATAAGCAGAAATTATAGTGATAACACATAAAAACAGACATGACAGCACAGTAACACAAATATAGTTTTAGGCTTGGTAGAAATTTAGGATTGGACCAAACTCAGTTTAATGCTTAAGCAAATCAAACAAAATAAGCTCCATCAATAAAATTTACACAAAATACAGACATATACAGACTTAATTTTGAAAAGTCTCATTTCAAACTATGATAACCAGTTAGATTTTGGTTGAAACTGAAAATTTTTAAAAGCACATTTTTCATCATGAATTAAAACAACAGTTAACAGGCAACATGTTACCTGTATGAGGAGGATGTCTCTCTGGGAGAATCAGATGTTGGAAGTTGATAATACAGACAGCCTCAGCACCTAACCATCTGTCAGACACTGCTCGGATATAGTATTGGGAAGGCAAAGGTTCGAAAATAGGTATTGTGAATACCAGTAGTTGAGCTTCTTTAGTAATGACCTAATGTGAAACAAAATCTAAAATAAGCATGCATACTCGAGTGTTATAAACATCCACAGTTGAAATACTCAAGATGTATTAAAAATAAAGAATTTATCTAGGATACACAAATAGCTGATATATCTAGGTAGTTTAGAAATTTGTAGATGGTTCCCTTTTTGGGACACCTGATAGAAGGCACAATTTAAACTTAATTTATATTATGTCAATATGCATATTATCATCTGTTAACAGATTAACAGTATGACTCAAACATCACACAACCAGTTATTTAACTTTGTATTCTTTGCCATATCCAACAGCCATATTATTTTCATAACTGTAAAAATTTTGATCAGTATTTTAAGTGGAATAACAAAAGTTTTACAATAAATAAAAGGTAACAGTAAAGAAAGACTCATAAAATAAAATAGCTATGAGTTTCTACAGCTGTATACTCTAAATTCTCAGCTCAAAGTTTGCTTTCTCTTTGATAAAAATAAACCAGTTAAATTTTCATTTACATAGCAATAAACTGAGTCTATCTTTAGTGACTTAGAATTTGAATACTCTTTTCAATATATGATTCAGTATCTTTTCACACTGTGTATGTAACACTAAAACTTACTATTTAGCAACCTATTTTATATACTACGCACCTGAGGAAAATGTTCCAAGATAAGGCAAATGTTGTAATTCAGTGTTTCAACAATGACCATATTTAATAGATTAATACTGTAACATTTAATTACTATCTTCTTGAGCTAAACAGAAATATAAACAATATATATAGCTTTCATGGTACTATTTGAAATCATAAGTACACCAGGTAAAACGAGAAATATTTGATTTGTAATTTTGTTTTATAACAGCAAAATAATGGTATCGCCACATATATATATATTTACCTGCTTTTTTAAAGTGAGAAAATATTCTGAATGATAAATATGATCATTTGTAGGATCTTCTACCCAAATCCACCAGGGTTCTCCAACAGTTCCATGGACCTAGAAGAGAAACAGTATCATTGTACCATGTAAATTGTAACTTTCCCAAGGGATAATGCTATCCACATACTCAGCAACTATTTCTCCCTGTCTCTCACAAACACCTTTGCTGATACACAAATTATGTGAACTTCAATGGCTTTAATATATTTACAATGCTGTGCTGCTGTAAATATTTTAGAATGTTTTCCTTCCCTCCATAAGAAACCTTTTACCAATTAACAATCAGCACATAATCTCTACAGATTTCTCTAATCTGTACATTTCACGAATATAAATGAAATCATACAATAAATGGTCTTTTGTAACTGACATTTTTCACTTACCATTACGGTTTCACATTCACCTATATTTAAGTCAGCAATAACACTTCTTCTCTTTGACAAATAGCATTCTACTGGATAGATATCACATTTTATTTATCTATTTTAATCCCTCACTTTCCAAATTCCTTCTCTTCTTTACAAAGCTCAACCTTCTTGTGATTCAAGAGAAAGGGAACACATCCCTCAGTATAATTTTCATTTGCATAAGTCAATCAGTTCACAGACTCCCCTGGTAACAGCCCATGGTAAGGGACATGACAAATTTCAGCTCAATTACACTGTAAGACTGAAAAGAAAAAAAAAAAGCCTTAGGATCTGTGTCATAGGATGTAGAATAAAGGAGAAAGCATAAGAAAGTATTTCTGAAGGATATAGAACAGTCAGCAGAGCAAAGAAATGAAAGATCCCAGCCCTGAATAACATCATCATGAAACAGAAGATTCCATGTGCAGGGTCTATTTTACTGATGAATCTTTTTATTGTACAAGATAAAAACATTCCTGCTTCACTCAATTTGAGGAAAGTTACGTTTTCCATTCTTGATGCATTCTGCCTTACAAAGTTAGCTATAAGGCAATTAAGACCTTCTGTCTTACTAATAAATTAAACCAAACTGTGAGTGATTTATCATGGATATTACAAGAAAACACGGTGGAAAAAATGGATTATCTTACTCATTTCAAGAACATGTCATTAAATATAAACACCTTGATATGGATTTGTAAGAACTATAATTTTTTTTATTTTAGGGAATTTTTCACATTTATAAACTATACTTATCCGATTTTGAGAAAATTTCTGTAGGGAACATAATTATTGACAGATTTTTGTTCACAGAAGAGGAAGCTGGAGGAATTAAAGGTCTGACACTGAATGATTAATATGGAACTTGGCTAGGATCATGTTTCGATAATTTAAGAACACAAGCATGAGCAAGATCCATTCACATCACATACGTACTAATATCAAGTAACATATCTAACTAGAACCTTCAATAATATGCAATTGGTATTATTCTTCAGTTGCTAATTGACTTGTCTTTATCCATTACTTTCGGAAATCACAGAGTGAGGCTTACTTGCCCTTGGACCTGCAATCTTTAACTCAGCAAATCAAGTAAAGACAGATTTTAAAAAAATGTTGACTGATGGGTAGGGATCCACCCTAGAAGCTAAGATGGTGCTTGGAATGCCTCCCATACTGGAACAGCTACGTTAGAGTCATGGCACTGCTCTCAATTCCAGCTTTCTACTACTGCGCACCCTGGAAGACAGCAGAGGACGGCTTGGGGGCCCGTGAGGGTGATCAGGTCTGAGTTGCTGGATCCTCATTCTGGTCCCATTCCAGTGAGAACCACTGCAAGAATCTAGGGTGTGAACCAGCACATAGGAGATCTCTGCCTTTCTGCCTTCCATATGAATTTCTTAAATTCTGATGGAACAAAAAAGGAAACATGGTATGTCCTTATATAAATGTAACAACAAGGAGCAATGGAAGGAGAAAAATGATAAGCAAAATTAAACCAAGACAGAAAAGTCATGGGAATTCAAGGATATTTTGAAGAATGACCATGTGTAGCTGCTAAATATTCAGAGAAATTAAGAAAATAACTCAGAAAACATCACGTATCATAGCAACCACTCATTGTTTCAAGACTACTAGTGAGGAATTAGTCTCAGCAATAAAAACGAATGTGACTAGAAGAAAAATGTAGAATATTTTTTCTATATGTCTAATACTGAAGGAAAGGAGAAGAATGGTAATTTGAGAAAAATGACATTTTTAACACTAAGAATAATTTTTGGTAGGTTATAACAACAGAGAATGTAGACATAGTAAAAATGAAGACAACAGAAAATCAAGGAAGATTTTTGAGGGCAAAATAAACACTGCCATAGTGTTTTTAGTGAACCCTCAACATACGTTAATTTTATTATACTTGCTATCTGCCTTGGACCAAATGCTGGAAAGTACATCTGAATCGGCAATTGCAATTTTCTTTTGCATAGGTATGATTATTCTGCAATTCTACCTGATCATTCCAAGTAAAGTCAGGATATATGGTGAGTGTCACTCGGAGAACAGTCCGGGTGATGGGCTGGATGGATGCTTCCATTGTAACAGAAGGAATCTGATGAACACATTGCTTGACCTTCAGTCCAATATTCACATGATGCAAAATGTGACCTGTAAGAAAAATATCCCATAGAAGAAATATGTGCAGGAAAAAAATAGCTACATAATCTTACTTGTAAATGATTTCTGAGAAGGTGATTCTACTGCTTGTTTTATGATTCGCTATGTAGAACAGCTGACATTCTTGACCTGGCATGTTTGAATATTTTGTAATAGTTAACCTGATTTAGAAATTTGTAGCTCTGAAAACCAATTATCAAGGTTTCTTCAGCTATTAACTGGGTTCTTAAAATCAGTAATATCGATAGCATTTAAGTTATAATAAATAGACCCACCTCTGTTAAGTTAGTTTATGACACAATACAGAAATATTTAGAATTTTGTGGAGGTAGCCATTTACTTACTGTCTATTTCAGAACTTTGTAAGTATAAGAAATACTTCAGCAGTCAGATGCAGCTCACCAATTCATACTCATTTTCAAAAAAAACTATATATATAAAATAGAAAATGCAACCAATCCAGCACAAAATGATTCCCTTACACATACTTTCATAATCACTCTAGGAAAGATACATATGTATAAGTGAGTGAGGGGGCAAGAGTGTGCAAACGGTCATAAACAAACAAGAATTAAGTCCAAATATTTTTCTACTTTGAGCAATTAAGAGGAAACAGACTGTATCTTTTACTGCCAAGATTTTCTGTATGTTCTTGATTTCTTTGTTCTTAAATGCATAATTTTTTAAAAAGCATACTTGTTATCAAATATTTAATGCCTGTCCAAATTTGAAACTAAAATGTATCTTCCACTTCCATATGTATTTGCTTTTAAAGCTTTTTTTTAAAAAAATTATATTGTTTAAAAAACATTTTACTTACACAGTGTGAGCAAATTTATTTCATAATATAGATTTAGGGGCATAGTGACACTTTTCACTTAAGTGTAAATGCATAAATTTCACTTTCTTAAAGAATGCTTGGAAAAATATTAAACCTTTTTATTTTTATTTGAATTTTATTTTTAGCATTGGTTACATAACTAAGAGAGATACATACCCATGTGGGCCTCCTATTAGCATTGGGAAAGTCAGACAAGGAGGAAAGTGGATGGGACAAATATTTGCTGATATTTTTCTCTTGTATGTACACGTTGGACGAGAAGAGGGGTGGGTGCTCCTTGCTGTCAAACTACATTAGTACTGGGGATAGGGGAGAGTCATTTGATGATGCATTAGACACTGATGTGGGGAAGAATATTCCAAGGATGTTACTTGAATAATCTCAAGAGTTCTGAGACATTGTTGGCTTTGCTGCCTCAAGGCTGAGAAAAGCTTTCCAAGGTCTACTGATTGACAAAGTCCACTTTAGTGCATTCATAGACCCAGAAAAATGCTGCTAAGTTGGTCTTTCGTGCACCAGCAGCTGCTGTGGCCCAGTCTGAGATGGCCCACTCCAAGTCTTAACGTTCACCAGCAGGTGCTACATTCTGGTTCAGTCTAGCCCATCTCAAGTCTCAGTTCTCACTGGCAGCTGCAGCAGCCTAGCCCAGTCTGGCCCACTCCTAGCCCCCACATGTTGTGGCCCAACCTGTCCTGGCCTGCATCCCGCCCTGGCTCTCACTTGTGCCAGCAAACCATATGGCCTGATACTGCCACAGAAACCTGGTCTAGCCTGCTCCTAGCCCTGGCTCAACCTCATCAACAGGAGCTGTATGCTAGCAAAGAAGTTCCCCAATGTTTCCAAGTTCCCCAAGGTCTGCTCCTAGCAACAGAACTCATGTGTGCCAGCAGGTGCTGCTGCCCAGAATGACATGGCCCCCAGTCCTGGCACTTATTGTTGGGAACTGTGGTCCAGCCCAAGTGGCTCATACATATTCCATTTCTCATTGATGGCTACTACAGTACAGCCCAGGCAGGCTCACATTAGCCCATCCTACATCCACTCTGGCTCTTGTAAACTCCAGCGGGTGCTGGAGTCTAGCCCAGTCTGGCCTGCTCACAGCCCTGGTTCTTGCACTCACTAATGGGAGCTGTAGCCCAACAAAGGAGTATCCACCAAAGTTCTATCAGGCCTGCTTCTTGCCCCCGATCTTGTGTGTGCTTCACCGGCCTGGCATGGCTTACCTAAAGTCTCATCTCTTGCTGCTGGGTTTTGCGCTCCAGCCCAGCTGGGCATGACCTACAGCCTGTTCCAGCCCTTGTGCGTGCCAGCAGGTGCTGTGACCTCGCCAGCCTGGCCTGTCTCCAGATACTGTCCACACAAATACAGATGAGTGCTGCAGCCTTGGCTGGCCTAGCCTGCCCGCAGACCTGTGCTCCTCAGTAGGAGCTGTGGCCTAGTAAGGGGATTCCATAAGTTCTTCCACTTGGCCCGCTTCCAGCCCTAAATCTCATGCGTGCAAGTGAGGCAATGAGCTGCCTTGGCATGGTCTGTTTGCATGTGCTGGTGGGTGCTGCAGTCTGGCCCCTCTCAGCCTCCTCCCAGACCCAACTATAGTCAGGAGGGCTCCTGTCAAGTAAGTTCTGTGGTATAGTCTGGCTTGGTCTGTCACCATCCCCAGCTCTTCATGCAAACCTGCAGGTGCAGCAGTCCCACAGAAAAGAACCTGCAGGAGGGTTATAAGTTATAAGTCCCCTACAAAATATGACTTCAGACCTGGTGTTCTCAGGTTCTGCTGAGTGCTGCAGCCCAGCCTGATGTGACCTACCCCATGCTCTGACACAGCAGGGTTCTGTGACATAACCCAGCCAAACATGCTCCCCAACCCTAGCTTTTGTGTGCAGCAGCAGGTGGCAGGTGATGCTATTTAGTGCTACCCAGGTCTTCCAGGTGCGTGGCTGCCATGGCCTGACCCAGACATGCCCTCTGGTGTCCGTCCTGTACATCACTCTGTCTCAGCTCCATTGCTTACCTGCAAGTGCAGTGGCCCAGTCTGTGGAAGCTCCCAGAAGTCATTACTACCCTATTAAACATATGCCCAGCCACTCCCCGTGCAGTAAGTTCCCAGACCTGGGAGGTTAGAGTTGCATGTCCAGGTCTGGAGCTCCCCAGCTCCTCCCCCTATCTTTAAAAACAAAACAAAACAACAACAAAATAGAATAGGCAACTATGCTAGCACACTGGTACAGCTAACACAAATTTGGCATTAATTAGCCAGAATGTCCACTAGCTATTGGCTGCTTTTCTCCAGCAGTGTAACACTTGCCTAGGTGAAGGCAACCTATAGCTGGGGGATAAAAATAAATTTTCACTTTTTTCTGTTTGAGATAGAGGAAGAGGAGAGGGAAGAGAGAGAATGAGAAAGACACAGAGTCCCATAAACAGATTCAATCCTCAAATGCCCGAGATAGTACTCACTTTCAGGTTGGGAGAGAATGAAGCCAGCAGGCAAGAACTCAGTCCAAGTCTCCCACATGAGTGGCACATACAGATGTCTGCACTGTTCCCTGCTGCCTGAGTATGTGCATTAGCTGAAAGTTGGAGATGGGACTAGAACTCAGGCCCCCAACTCAGAAAATTTAGGTGGAGTGTTAGCTGTGAGGGTAACCATCTAATCCTGTAAGTTTTATTTTTATGGTTAATTTGTGTTCAGAAATTACTTAACATTTGGAGTGATTTTTGCTTGAGTTTAGATAAAGAGATATTTCATAAATATAAATTTGTTATGAATAATATTAGAAGCTGTAATATTTTCTTTTACATTTACTATAACACTATGTTTACACAGAAAAATACATTCAAACAGTTTTGCTCACTTCTTACCTATTTCATCTTTCCTCATGTCTTTCAGCTTATCCACAGTAAGATTTTTTTCTTCTAATCTTGTTAGAATGTGTGGTGGTAACACTGAGAACTGTCTCAAAGGGCTAGCCCAACCCCAAAGCCTCTTGTCGATAACTTTACTAAGATTGAGGAGCCTGTAGGTCATGGCGGGCCACCGTTTCCGCAGAGCAATTTCAAAAAGAGCACGAACAATCCTAGCTGCATTCTGAAAAATAAAAGGGAAGATGAATGATTAGAGCCAATGTGTTTTAAAATTTGTCAGCCAATTTATTATACAAACTTAGTTACAAAAAAGTGCAGGTCAAGCTGCATCCTTGAGCTGTGTATAGCATCTTTCCTTATGTAACCTTTACGTCCTTTATGTTACTTGGTTAATTTCCCGAGAGTACTCTTGTAAACTCTATTTTTATACCTTTTAAAAAGAAATGAAACAGTGATGACAGTACGTAACTTGTTTAAAAGACACATTAAAAGAACTATTTAGTGTGGAGAACAGAGTGCTAAAACCCCTCCTGGGATTGGGAAGGGCCGTTGTAAGATGGCGGCTGGCCCCAGGAGTTGGTCTCGCCAGCAGGTAAACAGGAAGTCACAGGGATAGGCTAATGTTCTCACTGCGATTATATCATTGCTACTGGCCTATTACGTAGCGCCAAGTGGACCCACGGGGAGAAGTGATTGGTGGAGAACGATATAAAAGTAACCATTGTAAAAGCTGGGGAGGAAGGATGATGATAACGAGAAACACGGGGAGAAGAAGGATGGGCAGGAAGAAGGGTGGCAGAGAGAAGGCTGGAAAAGCAGTAGAGAAGTAGTAAGAGCTAAGTTTGGGGAAAAGAACGGAGAAATGCAGCAGAAAATGGGGACAAGAACTAAGAAGGGTGGTGGAGAGAGGGCTGGAGAAGCAGCAGAGGAAAGCTAAAGCCAATGGGGTAAGGGGCAGCGGAGAAAAGGGTTTAAACATGGCCACTTTTGGCAGTGAGGGGTCTGGTTGCAGTTCCGGCTTTTCCCAGACCCTCAAGAGTGTGCCTCATCTTTTTAGTGTCGCTGCTGGGGTGGCGACAGTTTAGCATATAATAGACAAGTTAGGGTTAGGGTTAGAGACAAGTTAAAATGCCCCTATGTATGTCAGTATGTTCGAGTGATTAATTTATAAGGTGATTTAGAAAATTTTTAACATATTGTTTACTCAATACTATGTCAATTAATTCCATAACGTTGTATATTGATGCTGATGTTTTGTTGGGGATTTTAACTGACCAGAACTTTACTCTGTTAGCTCTACCTTCAGACCAGAGAAGGTCTCCCCAAGAGGCCACTGAACTTATCTGGACAATAAGATGCTGGACTTTATGCTAGGTATATGCTTACAATGAAGGAATCTCAACTGAACTTGAACTGAAGTTATGCAGCAAGGTGGAGGAATCCACTATGGGGGGAGGGATGTGAGAGGAGTGGGGGGAATCCCCAGTGCCTATAAAACTGTATCACATAATACAATGTTAATAACAATTAAAAAAAAAAAGAAAATTAAGATGAATTTAGGAACCGCCATTGTTGTGTAGAGGGTTAAGCTGCTACCTGAGACACTGGCATTTCACTTGGGTACTGGTTTGTGCCACAGCTGCTCTGCTTCCAACCCAGTTCCCTGCTAAAGTACCCAGGAAAGCAGCAGAAGATGGCACAGGGGTGCTCACATGGGAGACACATATAGGAGATCTACAAAAACTTCCTACTTCCTGGCTTTGGCCTGTTATAGCCCTGGCCAATGGAGACACTTGAGGAAATAAATAGATATTTTAAAAATATTGACTCCAAGATTGAATCAGCAAGGAAAAATTAGGGTGGGATTACAGAAAATTTTAATTTGATTCTAAACTATGCTAATAGCTCTCTATAAACTGAGAAATGTTTTACCATACTAAATATTTACTAGTTATATTTGCTGGTGTGAACATAATGATTTTATAGAGGACATATCACTGATTTAAGAGACTGAAAATGTGACCAGATTTATTTAGGTGGTCGCTTTAAACTACACTAGATCTAGATTACTCCACACTTAACCCTTCAAAGTCTAAATTCAGTAGTTTGAGGATAGCTTCATCAACTGACACACAGAAAGTATGACAATGGCTGAACCATTTTCACATATTCTCCACTAGTCACCATTTGTTTGCCTCTTTCCCTCTATCAGCAACCTTGTGGACTGATTTAGTGAAAATGGTTTTCAAAATCATGGACTTCAGGACACTTTATAATATCCAAGGAGTTTATATTTGAACATGTAAAATATTAACTGAATAATATTAAAATGATAAAAAAGAGACAAAAAATAAACAAACAAGCAAACAAAAGAAGAATCAGGCTAAAACTATAAGGTAGAAATGACCAGAACCACAAAACTTGGTTTTATATTTTATATAAGATGTACATTTGTCTTTTTGGAAAACTGACTGTATTTCTTTTTCAGTACTTGAAGCTTAAAGTCAAAACTGGTATTTAAAAATCTGAGGATAGTTTTGATATTCATTAAGAATGACAGAATAGGTCTTTTCAAGGATCCAAAAATGATCAATTAAATGAACCATCTGGGCCTGGCGGCATGGCCTAGTGGCTAAAGTCCTCGCCTTGAACACCCCGGGATCCCATATGGGCGCCGGTTCTAATCCCAGCAGCTCCACTTCCCATCTAGCTCCCTGCTTTGTGGCCTGGGAAAGCAGTCGAGGACGGCCCAAAGCTTTGGGACCCTGCACCTGAGTGGGAGACCTGGAAGAGGTTCCTGGATCCTGGCTTCGGGTTGGCACAGCACCGGCTATTGCGTTCACTTGGGGAGTAAATCATGGGATCGAAGATCTTCCTCTCTGTCTCTCCTCCTCTTTGTATATCTGAGTGTGCAATTAAACAAAAAAAAAAAGAACCATCTGCACCCATACAGGCTTTCCTGCAGCATTCCCACTTGCTCTTACCAAAACTACCAGGCTGTGTTCCCAATTTTGAAATATATAATTTTATATTTTAGAGCCATGACTGTTCTTTAAAAGTTAAGAGAATTACGAAGAAAAAAATCCATGAGAAGATATTAACAGAACATTTTAATCTGGAATTACATGAATTGGATGGGAATAATGACCAAAATCTGTAATAGATACAAGTTATAGTAAACATGTTTTAAAAAACATTCCTAACACTTTTGAGCTAAGGGCTTACCCTAGGTGCCCTTAGAAGAAAGTGTAGGAAATACAGACAGAGTGGAAAGGACTTGTGCAGTTACCAATAGCTTCAATTTAAAATAAAATGAACTCAAGTACAGTTTACTTAATGTACTGAAGGATAAAAAATCCATATCTATTCCAGAAAAATAAAAAATATTTTGAGAGATAATCTTAAAATTTCCTGGGTAGCCGGCATGAAGAAAAGTAAGTTTTATACATGAAGCAATTCATGTTTGGTCTCTCAAAATAACCATGAATTAAGCACAAATATTGGTAAATTACATATCCAGACAGGGAAAATCTTATCATTTATCTGAAATGATTAACTGCTTTAAGATAGGAATAAATCATTAAAAATATAAAATAAAAATAATATATTTCTTTCAGAAAATGAGTTAAAATGAAAGGAAGAAACATCAATTTCTATCGAAGCTATAGGATTGTTTCTCATCGTTTGTTATCTATTACTTATAAACATATTGGCTCATGTTTTTAAGCATTACACATTTTCAGCTATTTCAAAGCATTCCTGGAAATTTGCAGCAGTTAATCATGTGACATAAACTTTCTTCCTGTACATTAAATCTTTGAATGAAATTACAAGTAATACAGCATTTTTTTTATTCATCAAATAAGATTAAGATTTAGTTTCTCCCAATTTAAAGGAGGTACTGCTAAACAAATAAAATATCACAAACAGTATTTCTGAAAAGCAAAGAATAATCTTTTAACAAGAATGTCTTGAAGGGAAATCTCTCTGAAACTTAAGTTGGACAAAGAAAAAGACAAAACAACTATTTCAAAAGAGGTCTTGAACACAAATCATATTTTTAAAAGGATGTAAATTATGGCATGCTAGCCCAATTGGCTAATCTGCCACCTGCAAGTGCCTGGATCCTGTACTGGTACCATTTTGTGCGGCGTGGAAAGTAGCAGAGGATAGCTTGGGAAAATAGTAGAGCTCTAGGACCCTGTATCAGCGTGAGAGACTAGGAAGAAGCTCTTGTCTCCTGGCTGCAGACTGGCTCAGCTCTGGCCACTGCCGCTATTTGGGGAGTGATTCAGCAGATGGAAGATCTTTGTCTGTCCTCTCTGTAAATCTGCCTTTCCATAACAAACAAACAAAATGAACCATAGTTCAATAATCACTTCTAAGAATCAAAAACAGGGAAAAGGAATTACTTTTAAAAAACAGATCTGATGGATCCACTGTCGTAGCCTAGCAAATGGAGCCCTCATCTTAAACTTGCCAGGATCCCATATGGGCGTTGGTTCTAACCCTGGTAACCCTGCTTCTCAACCAGTTCCCTGCCTGGGAAAGCAGTTGAGGATGGCCCAAAAGCTTGGAACCCTGCACCTGCATGGGAGATCCAGAAAAAGCTCCTGGCTCCTGGCTTCGGATCCATTCAGCTCCAGCTGTTGTGGCTGCTTGGGGAGTGAGCCATTGGATGGAAGATCTTCCTCTCTGTCTCTCCTCCTCTGTATGTTTGACTTCTCAATAAAAATAAGTAAATCTTAAAAAAAAATAAAGATCTACTATATATTTAGTAAGACTTAATAATAAATAAAAAGTAGATATTTTTAATAGTTCAAAGGTCTCATAATGCTTCAGCATGCTTGAAACACTATTCTATCACTGTCTCTAAGAAATGAACATTATCATTTATAGAATAAACAATTAGATTTTAACATTTTAAAAAGCATAATAAAAATTATGGCAACATTAAAAAAGAAAAAAGCCAAGCACCTGCTCTCAATACCCCAGCATTGACCTGGCACAGAATACACAGAAACATTAGTTCTTAGGCAAAAATTTAAGTTTGGTGACACATTACGAACAACACAGTCACAGCATAACATGGATTAATGTCTTAGCTTATAGAAGAAGAATAAAGAGAAAATGGGAACGTAGTAAGGCTGTTACCTGTGCAACATATGCAGAATCCGATATGAGGGAAAAACTGTCCATCTCTCCCCGGCTGATATAGGTTTGAAGTAAGATGTTTATTTTGCCATAGCTATTTTCCACACCCCCGGGAGCTGAGAGTTCACAGAAGTTGCATAATAAGGCATCTAATTCCTCTATTTCTTCTTCTCTGACCTATAAGAATCAATACTTTTATAGTAACCTCTAGACAGATTAACTGAAAATGTTTATATTGAAATTAAACATTGTATCTTTAAAAGTTTCTATCCATTTTAACCTGACAATTTCTTACTACACAGTTAAATAATACTAGGTTTCCCACAGGTAGCTAATAAAATACAACAAGAAACTCTCGAGACTGATACAATTACATTTTATTATTCATAACCAATATTAAAGGTACCATTGACATAAAAATTTGATATGCCGCAAAAATTAAATCTTCTGACCTCACCATCCTTCAACTGATGAGATTTCATTTTTTATTTGACCAGAGTAAAACCTCTGCCCAATTGGATTAGGGCAAACTTGAATTATCTTCAGATACATTCATTAAAGCCACATATTTCTATACAATATAACATATTCATAGCTTAAAGCTGTGAAGTACTATTATTTCAGAGTATTAAAGTTTTTACTGTTAATAAGATTAAATTACAATAAGGAAATGTTCACATCCATGATTGAGTCACACATGAACTTTAAATTTTTCAGTGAACTTCATAATTCAAATAAACCAAAAACTATATACTATATTATTTGGTAGTTTCATTACTGTTAGATATATTCAAATTACTTGATTTAAGCAAAGATGTTAGCTCTGAGGATAATGCTATAACCTAGGATAGTGGATAGTACTGATATATAGAAGAACACTGCTCATACTCCAAAGGCAAAGTATCACAAAAAACCACGTATTGTATCAGGAACAATCAATATAAGCTTTTGCAAACGAGCAGGCGTATGCGTGCAGTATTCATTTTGTTTGACCTTCAAATAATCTTACCTTGATTTGATCAAATTCTTCAGCTTTGGAAACTATAGCAAAGATATCACCCTCAGTTTTGTGTGCATCAAAGAGTTCATTAAAAGTCTATCAAGACAGATATTGCATTTAATTAAAATTAAAACTCTAATAAAATATTTTACAATAAAATGTTATTGTAAATCACACAATTTTAAAGAACATCTGAGCGCAAATCAGTGCGGTTATACTACACATGGTCTAGTATTCCAAATCTAGTAAACATAACCAAATTATCAAATACTGAAAATATTATTAAAACATAATTTGCCAAGGAAGACCTTGAAAAGCAAATGGAACAGAAACATCACTATGCTCAGTGAAATAAGTTAATCTCAAAAGAACAAATATCATACGTTCTGAGATAAGACAACATTCATGCAAAATACAACATCAACAGATACATAGGTTAGCAAGTATAAATATATATTCACCTAGAAGAACTGTACAATGGAGACTAGCATACCACGACGTGAAGATATGTTACAGCATACAACTCTACTCCCAATGAAATTGTTAAAATACATCTTGACAATAGGATTCTGGACTTGCTACCATTATCTATACCTACAATGTCATGATACATTTAAATGGCAGAAAGACGGACTTATGACTGTTCTGAAGCACTACACTACTGTGATGACACAGTTGCAGGTGGGTAAATGACAAAGATGACTTAGTGTGCAAATGGATGTGAATAGGCAATGCAAAAAAGCAAAAGGTTAAGGAAAATGTATTGGGTGAGGAGCCACCAGATTGCTGGTGTAAAGTATCATAATTAAAAGTGATAAACCTAAGGTGATCAACAAATAAAAGGCTTATGTGGAAAAGATGCAAAAACAACATGAAGGTATTTTCTGAAACTCAAGATAAACACAGCAAATGTTATATAACACAAAACCTCTATTTCATATAAGCCAAAGTTTTCATATTTTAAAAATCATATTTAAGTAACTTCTATTGTGTTTTCCATTTTAAAAGCAATTTTAAGCACAACATTAACTCAAATATTAGAAAAAATTCAAAGGCTGGTGTTGTGGCATAGTGGGTTATGATGCTGGCATCCCTTATAATTGCTGGTTCAAGTTGCAGCTGCTACACTACCAATAACTCCTTGGTAAAGTGCTAAGAAATTAGTAGAAAATGGCAGTTATTTGAGCTCCTGCACCCATGTGGAGGACAAGGATGGACTGTGGGCTCCTGGCTTGTGCCAAGGCCAGCCTTCGCTGCTTCAGCCATTTGGGCAGTAAGCTAGCAGATGAGATGGACAGAGCACTCTCTCTTGCTCTCTTTCTCTCTGTCCCTCTCTCTTCTCTACCTCTCCCCCTCTTACCTCCCTCTGCAAATCTGCTTCTCAGATAAATAAATCTTAAAAAAAAAAACCTCAAATATTTTGCTAAAAATGGAAAAAAGGAATAAGACATGAAAAGTCATCTTAATTTTTTTCCTATTCTTCAAGTTTAACACCTCTCACAGGTGGTCACTGTTTAGTTTTTCCACATAGTATTAAATGTATATGAATATACAAAGACACTATTCTAAATGTAAATGTTAAAGGGATATCCTGTTTTTACAAAGGACTTTGTTGAAAGGCCACAGCAAGGCTACAATTGTGTAATCAAAATTATTCCTGAAAATTTCTTCACTTGCACATACAGCACAGCTAGGCTCTTTTATTTATTTTTTAAACTAGCTGTTGCTTGATAATACGTGGATAAATTTTCAGCTTTTCATCCACAGACACCATTACATGATGCCGTCACATCTGAAGCCATTCAGGTGTTCAACCTGCAGGTCTCCCTGGTACATTATGGCAGTTTTAGGTGGGGATGTATCTACTGTTTGCAATATACTCATTGAGAAGGAAAGTAAGTGGGTTCTTTGTCTTTTTCCCTATTTTTATTGAGGGTAAGTTACAGATTTTGCCTAAGTTAAAGGGATTTTTAAAATGAGACACTTTTTTGTGATTTTTGCATTAATAAATATATTTTGAAGTCTAGAAACTATCTATACCTACAAACGAACATTTTATTCAATTAATACTGCCCCAGATTAATACCTCAATAGTATTGTATTTAATATAGTAGTGGCTTGCAGTTCTACCCAAGTCAGTTGAGGAGAAATACCCAGTTCGCTCTTCAAAGCGGATCATCTGGGCTTTGTCTAGTTTTCGTCCAACTTCAATAACCAATTGTTCTCGATGCTTTCTTAAGGTTGGATCCATCTACAGAAAGAAAGAAAGAAAAACAAACCCCTAAGTGTTTCTTCACTGAGTCATTACTTGCAGAAATACCTATGTGGAAATATACTTTTTCTTGATGCTGTAGATTATAATTGAAAAATACACTTTCATATACTTAGACAACAATTATAAAACATTTTATTCCATGTAAGAGAACATTAAAAATTCATGGAGATTAACGATCTGCATAGTTTCCTCCAAACTAATATTCTAGAATCTGAAATTCTTTTTTGACTTTATATTATTTAATATTACAAACAATGAAAATCAAATAAAAGAAAATAAGAGTAACTGTTCTCTTCCTCTACAATAAAATGAATAGAACTTTCAAGCAATCAAACCATATTCCTAGTTTATCAGTTATTCAGGACAATGATAGAGCACTTTTCTCTGTCAATATCAAGATAAACAAAAATAAAAACAAACTTATTCTTTTTTTTATAAAAAAAAATGTTTGAAAAGCAGAGGAACAGAAACGGAGAGAGAAAAGGAGAGACAGAGAGATATTCTCTCAGCTGGTTCACTTCACAAATGCAGTAATGGCTAGGGCTGGCCCATGTGGCAGCCAGGAGCCCAGAATTCTATGCAGATGTCCCACGAGGGTGGCAGGGACAGAAGTATTCAGGCCGTTTCCTGCTGTTTGCCCAAAGCATTAGCCAGCAGCTGGATAGGAGAGCTGAGACACAAAGGAGAGCATGTAATGGAAAGCCAGTGTCCTAATAGGTAATGGCTTAATGTGCTGCAGGACACCGGCCTCAGAAAGGAGTAACTATTCTTTAAAAATGTATTCTATAGGGCCACACTTAATCTAGAGATTACTACACCCATGTGTCTCACTGGACTAGCTGAGTTCAATCCCCAGCCCGGGCCACTGAGAGCACTTGGGGAGTCAACTGTGAGGCAGAGTGACAGAGACAAATGCCTGCTATGGCTGAGGCTGGGCCAGGGTGAAGTCAGGAGCCTAAAACTCCATCCAGGTCTCCCATGTGGGACGATCCCTGTACTTGTACCATTATCCGCTGCCTCCTAGGGTGCACAGTACAAGGAAGCTGCAGCTGGAACTCCAATGCACCCATCTCACGGAGGATGCAGGCATCCTATGCAGAGTCTCACTGCTGGTACCTGACACTGACTCTTATTTTGCTGTTTTGAAACTCTTTCAGAACATTTCATTGACTAGTCTCATGATGTCGCTAAGTAAGAGTAGTAAATTCCATATTTTTAAAAAAGTGTAAAGTTATAATACTGTCAGAATTTTGTAACAAAACGTTTCAGTTATAAGAGAAGAATTGAAGATTAGCATATATTTCAACCTGGAAGATGAAAAGTAATTAAATCTCATTTATGGAAAACTGAAAGCATAAAAACCTAATGATTTCAGATTAGCTGCCTTTGAACTAGTCGCTGGTGCTGCTTTTCTTGTCTGTGCTGCCTGCCTAAGCCTTAAGTTTCAATTCAGCTATGGTAAAATCTACTGCACAGGAAAATGAAAAATGAAAGGAAGAAAAAAGGGTGTTTACTATCTGGATGAACACAAAAGCTAGGATATTAGTAAGCCGAAGAAAACTATAATTTCTAGCTAGACTCTGCTTCTTTGCTAATTTTGATTTAATACTACTGACCATTCATTCATATGATGTGGTGAAATGATGTTTTAATTAGATAAGAGCTAGAATGGTATCTGCAATGAAGAAGTATTTACAGTACATACAGCAGAGGACCAAGGACAAGATTTCACAGAATCTGTGGGCCACATGGACCACACAGCTGTGAAATTTATAGGAGGAGCTGCTATCACATGTATCCAATTCTCATTCTATGCGTATGCACTGAATTGTAGAACTGATCAAAGCCTCCAAATTGTTAAGATAATCACTTACTAATGTCATCCTCTAATTTCTGAATGGGGTTTAGAAGTGACTTGCCAAAAGGAATAGATCATGCAGAAGGCTATTATGAAAATCTGTTTTCTTCATGTCTTATTTATTCCATAATTATTTATTGTAGTTTAAAAATCAGAATATTACTATCAATTGGAATTACATCTGAATACCTCATTGCTAAAAAAAAAAAAGTATCCACTTAATTTGTTTCAGTAGAAAAAGAGTCTTTAACAGAGCAAAATAATTATCAAGGACAATTTTAATTTTCCTTTGTGTTACAGATCAAAGTCCTCTGCTTTTCTTCCAGAAACCTAACTTTTTTCAAATGAAGTAAGAGGAGGAAATATTTACCCTCAGATTGTGAAGGGATTATGAACCAAAAATAAGGCTTGAATTTTTTAAATAAATGAGTTTTCTACCTGATATGCTTTGTGACTGATCCCATATGCTAATGGATTCGCTCTCATTCGCACATAAAGATAAGTGTAACTTATCCACTTCACCGCTTCCTCCACGTTGGTAACTGTTCCAAGAGCAATCTGTGAATCGAACACAAAGCAGAAGTAATGCATTCAAGTTGGACATACATGCTACATCAAAGATCATTTTACCAGTGTGTAAAATTTATAATGCTATATTTAAAAGAAGTACAATAAACCAAATACATACAAAACTACTTAAAAATTGGTCCTGTCTCAATTAATAGAGAAAAGCACACTAGAGATATCATTTTTCAAAACTGAACCTAGTATTATAGCATTTGACTAATCTTTATATGAAGTTCAACTAACACAGTATCAAGAATATTTCTGGCATTCATTAACTTTTTTATATTCCATATATTTATTTTACTTTGTGACCACATTATAGAAATACCTAAGTGTAAGTACAACAGAACAGTAAAACAATATTCTTAATTCTATCTCTCTATTCTAATTCTGCATACAAAACTACAGGGTACAACATTAGCTTTTTGTCCCTAGAGCCATCTGTTTTCAGGACAGCAAAGTCTAAATATACAATGCAAATAGAGCGAAAAACTTAACAACTACTGCACTCAGACAAAGTATAGCTTACTGGGATTATATAAATATCTGTAACTGCTACGCAACCCATGGAAAAACATGTACACATTTCAGCCACAGTAAACAATGAATTATATTTATATTATATTAAGCAGGATTTAAAAAAATATTCATTTATTTGAAAAGCAAAGTTATGAAGAGAGAGAGAGGAAGAGAGAGAGAGGAATAGAGAGAGAGAGAGAGAGATCTGCCATCCATTGGCTAACTGTCCAAATGGCCACAAGGGCTAAGCTGGACCAGGCCCAAATCTATGTCTCCCATGTGGGGGCAGGGGCCCAAGCACTGGGGCCATCTTTTGTTGCTTTCTTGGATGTATTAGTAGGGAACTAGAAATGACAGTGGAGTATCCAGGACTAGAACTGGCATCCAGAGAGGATGTGAGGGTTATAGCTGGTCGCTTGCCTCACTGTGCCACAATGCTGACTTTAGGAATATATTTCTTAATACAGCCTTTTAATGGAATCTTGTAAATAGGTTAAGTAAGTGAAACCAAAGACTGATAACTTATAATCAGAACACTGATACATACAATCTAGGTAACGAAGACAAATGAATTAAACATTAACAGAATTTCAGTGAGTCTTCCTAAAAATATGTTTTATTGGTCAATGAATCCATAGATACTAACTGTAGTTTTACTTTTGCTGCTCATCTTACTTTAAAAACTTATGTAAGCCATCAAACTTCAACCCAAGTTATTTTATTTGAACTTTTAGCTAAAAAAAAAAATTCTTATCATCTAATGCCTTAGCCAAAGGGAGAGACTCCTTTCCTAAATTATTAAATTTCAGAATAAGATAACAAACCTTCCATTTTAATATTAAAGAATGTAAAAACATTTGCTTTAATTCATGCAATTTTTAATTCTGTTTACCACTTCCAGGAAGTAAAGAGATGAACACTCAATTGTCTTTTTTTGAGTTGAGGATGAGCTATAACAATACGCAATTTTCAAAGAAACAGGAACAGAAGCAGAGAGACAGATACTACATCTGCTGGTTCACTCCCCAGATGGCCACCATGCCTAGGGCTGGGCCAGAACCAGGAGTTACTTTCAGGTTTCCTGTATGATTGTCAGGGCCCCAAACTCTTGGGCCATCCTCTGCTGCTTTCCCCAGGCCGTGGGCAGGGAGCTGGACCGGAAGAGAACAGCCAGGACATGAGCTGGCACCAATATGGGATGTTAAGCCTCATAGGTGGCTTCACTTACCAGGCCATAACACTTGTCTCGTTTATTTGTTATTTAAAATAAAAAGACAACCAAAAAATACGATCAGGGAAATTCTACTTAATACTTAAATTTACATGAGCTTATTAACAAACCAATAAGTCAATCACAATACTGGCAAACAAATACATTTCATACAATGTATACTATTAAAGCTTTCAAAATAATGAATTGCAGCAAGAACTAAAAGTGAGCCAATGAAGCTGTGTGAGAATTTCTGAAGATTTATAAGCGGGGAGATTAAACCTTTTCTAGAACTCATAGGTAAATGAAACTAGTTTGATGATGTAATTTAAAGCTAATAGCTTTTACAACTTTGAGTTCACCTGTTTGACAGCTACAACTGTATTAAAAGATATAATGTGTGATGTATATTTGATATTCATTTGAGATGTTATGATGTTAATCTAAAAAAACCATATAACTCCTAAGAATATTAATGAACTAAATTAACAGTTATCTACTGGTACTAGTGGTAATACCTGTAAAAGAAAGTTGAAAGTAGGTATCAAAAACTAGAATAAGTGACAAAAGTCTTCTAACTTTTCACCAATAACAGCACACTCTGAAAAAAAGTGCACATCAGATTTTGAAATTGATCCTTGACTGCCACCTAGTGACAAATATAAAAATTTACTTGTGACTATTTGCTGCCACCTAGTGGCTTCTCAGTACAGAGGGATTAAGTAAAAATAAGTGCTTTATTCCTTTTCATATCATCCCTTTGAAATTCATTCATTCACTTCAATAATAAAATAGTGAATGAATAAAAAATGTGAATTATGAAGCCAACACATACAATAGAGCTTAGTTCCTGGCTTCATGACATTCACCAGTAATACAGATGAGAACTATGTAACTGGTAAGAATGACATAAATGATCCTAGGGAATGGTAATAAAAGGCGTTTATGTTACGTGCAAAGGCATTTTTAAATCCAACTATTACTTCATAGACTTTCTGAAGACCTTCTAATATGCATAAACACCTACCTGTTTTTTGGACAGGAATTTTTTGACACTCCTCATGTGAATCTACCAACCATTGTGTGGCACATGGCACAAATATTCAGAACGTTGTTAGACCCTTAGTGTAGTGGCTAAGACTCAACTTAGGACACCTGCAACCCATTTTAGGGTGTGTGTGCAAGTGTACTGGTTCTGTGTCCTGGTGATGTGAACTTGAGATGCACCAAGCGATGGCCCAAGTACCTGAGCCTCTGCCACCCATGAAGGAGAGCTGGAGTGAATTACAGCTCCTTGCTTCAGCCTGGCCCAACCTGCTGGTTGTGGGCAACTGGGGAGTGAACCCACAGACAGAAGATCTCTGTCACTCTGCTTTTCAAATAAATAAATCACTAACAAAAAAGTTCATGGAAATAGAATGAAAGACATGTATTTTGAACAAGATACTGAAAACTATGCATAGATTTTCAAGAAGTTCACAAACAATACATCTTTTAAAAAAAACTATGCATGTACTTCAATTTCTCTTTGCACCAAAATCAACTTATTTATTTATTATTATTCATCTGAGAGGCAGATGACTTTGGGGTGGGGCCAGTCTAAAGCCAGGAGCTCCTTCTAGATCTCCTGTAACAACAGCAAGGGTCCAAGCCTTGGGCCATGTGCAGGAAGCTGGATCTGCAGTGGAGCAGCCAGGAAGTGAACCATTCTGGCCCCTTTCAAGAACTTTTGAAAATTTATTTTACTTATTTGAGATGTAAAGAGTAAGAAAGTGAGAGCAAGAGAGGAAGAAGCCTGGGGTGGGGAACTCAATTTGGGACTCTCACGTGGGTGGCGGGGCCTAGCCGGTTGAGCCATCTGCTTCCCGGGCTGACTCCGGTAGCTTGGTAGTAAAGCGGAGGGTTGAACCCAGGCAGTCTGATAATGGCGTACTGATGTCTCAAATGATATGCTAATTGCAGAACCAAATGCCTGCCTTCCCACAAACTTTCTGAAGCCCTACTTAAAAACATTTTAGTAAACGTGTAAAAAAATATCATTTATGCTGCCATTCTGTTTCCATATTCAACTACAGTTTTTTTGGTGCTGGCAATGTTAATGGGTTTAGCATCAGAAAGTTTTAGAAAACTGTAAGTGGTGCTAGCACTGCACACCAAAGCAGCACAGAGACTTCACCATGAAGGGGGCGGATACCCAGTCTAGAGCCGGAGACCCGTGCTGGAGAGGGACCAGAGCCAGACTGGGGAGCCAGGCCTTTAATCCACTGCCACCGGTCTGTGCAACATCCCGTCCAGGTGGCAGATGATGAAAAGATTAGGAAAAACTGACACGAAATAGACACTCAGTGATGTCTGATGAATAAACTTTAAAAAGCTCCCAACACATGCAGTGTTTCTCTTAGTGCAAAATTTGGTGGCTTCATATAGGGAAGGCAGTTAACTCTCCCTCCTGCCCCTCCAAGTTCTTTGAGTACAGGACGCCTTTGGATGAGAAGTTCTCCTCAGGCTAACAGACCCAAGCAGCTAGTAGCATTGTGGTCTTTCACTGTTAGAATTTGGCAGCTGGCAGCATTATGCATCAATCAGCTAAGATGCCTCATTAAACATCAGCATTGCAATGACTACTTTTAGCAATATTATTTCCCTGTAGGAACATTATTAATTCCTAAATGAGTGGTTAGAATAGATGTTCATGAAATTCAGAGATATTCATATACTGCTCATGGCCACAGTGGAGTCTTGGGAAGATTTGAAGAGTCTAAACATGAAGAAAATCCATTATCTTAACAACACAGCACACACTTATTTTATAAACCAATTTCACACTTCATTTTGTAGATTACTAAGTTTAACTTCAGATTCTATTGTAATTTAAGGGAGTTACTCTCCTTAACACAAACATTACTTTAATAAGGAACTTTTCTATAAGACTCAGACGAGAAGGTTTAGCAATATCTATTATACTCTTCTATATTAGCTAAAAATGTCAAAATGTATTTTCCTTTACTTGAATTCCATTTAAATCACTAAACAATTATATCTACATTAATTTACTTTTCTGTAAATGACATATTTGGTAAGTACTTTAAGAAATAAAGGATGAACTTATGAGCCATAATTTATTTTCAAATTCTTAAGGTTTGACCAAATATATGTACAGATATTTTACTGATCTTGAAAAAAAAGTGTTCCCTGAAGACAAGAGTAGCAGTCTATCCCCTTGTATCTTCTGCATGATATTACTGCTGTGCTACACCTTAACCTTTAAAACAGCTACCAAGGACAAGCTTTATAACATACAGTTCTTCTTATAACAGTGTTTTAGAAAAATTGTGAAATATGAGTCTTCTGTTTTACTGAACTTCAGTAAAATTATAGCTAACATTTTGGAACATGTTTAGATAAAGTCTTAGAAGAAGTCAAACATTAAATATTAATATAAATGCATTATTAGCTTACAATATTGTATGCAATATAACAGATCCCTAAGCTATAAGAAATTTGGAATAAAATAGATTGAGCCTTGACTATCATGAGAGGATTTAAAAAATTCACAGAAAATGTAATTAAACTTAGTTTGGTGTAGAAAATTTGAAATCTATATAGAATGTTTTAATAATAGGTATTTTCCATGAACTTTTTTCTTAAAGATTTATTTGTTTGAAAGGCAAAGTGAGAGAGAGATACTTCTATCTGCTGGCTCATTCCCCAACAGGCTGCTGCAGTCAGGGCTGTGCTGTACCCAGCTGAAGCCAGGAGCCAGAAGCTTCTTCTAGATCTCAAATGTGGGTCCATGGGCACGAGCACTTGAGCCATCCTCCACTGCTTTCCCAAGGTACATAGGTGGGGAATTGGGCTGGAAATGGTACATCCAGCATTCAAAATAAAGCACTAAAGGTCGATGGCTTAACTTGCTATGCATATCTCCAGCCCTAGTTTCCAACTTTTTGAGAGCCCCTTACTTCTATCAAAAACTGTAGCTTGGTGACCTTGGGTCAGTTACAAATGTCTTTGAGGACAGCATTTCCCTAGGAGAAGTGGCAAGACTGAGGGGACATACAGGAAACACCCAACAGTGCCTCATTCCACTGTGACTATTACTACTATACAGAATGGCGGTCACTAGTTGATCCTAGACCCACGGCCTCACAATTGAAACCAAGAATTCTTCGTAGGTAATGAGGACTGAACTGAGCTATCATACTTTTTTCCTTGGAGTAGAAATGTATTTTCCATTTTCTTGCAGTTTCACTAATAGCAACCAACCCCATCTATGCTTTTCACCCAAAATTGTAAACTGGTCTTTCTAAATGTATCTGTTCTTTAGAAACGAATCATGATTTCCAACTCGTCAGTCAAGGCTGTCCTGAGAACCTGGAACTAGACAGCATTCACTTTGGTGGAGCCCTTCCAGGGAACTAACTGCTTTCTTTCCAACATCAAAGCGCTGTGTTCATGTTTTCTTCAGTGGCTTTCATTCCCTAAAATAACCTATACATTACAGGAGTAGAAGACAAAATTCTATAAACTGTTTAAGAAGGACCCCCCAAAAATTTATTTATAATAAGCACCATTTGATTATATGCATTTACCTATTTGTTATTTATATCCTACATATTTACAAAAAATTGTATCAGTTGCAGAGGAAAGAAGTGTGCTGATGTATCAAAGTGTTAAATAATAGAAATAATTAAAAATATGAAAATTGTGAAATGTCATTAGAATGTCCGACATCTATACTACGAACTATAAGAATTTCTTTACCAAGTAAGACACTGCCCAGGCCTCCAGTGTCTGCTGCTATTTTACAGCTTTAACATAAAAGTCACACACCTCCACCATGACCACCATCAGCACCATCATCAAAACATCATTCTCTAAATCAACTTGGCAATTATATTATTAATGTAACAAAGCTAATCAATTAATAAGATACAAGAAATTTATAAATCTTACATAAATTTTATGAAAAGCATAAGGACATTATAAAACCACAATACAAAAGTTAATTCTCATTGTTATTTCTATTCCCCTAATTAGCATAATTTTGGTTAAAATTATGACCTATAGCAAAACTCCATAGTTTAAAATAATGGTGCTTTTGGAATAAATTCTTACCAATTCTTATCTGCATCCTATTCTGCACTGAATTCATCATGTATATTGCTATAACCGATTTTGCCTTATGGCAGGATGGTATAAGCTGAATTGCAACTTTAGCTTTATCTTTTTGGTCACTCTTGATGCAGGTGATTCGATTCCAACCTGTCCTTTACTGGGTCTTACCTCTGCATTTAAGTTATCTGCAAGACTTTCCAGAAACTGGCTCTCAATTGGGTTTTGTTGAGTAAGCAAAGTGAGGTAATGGCTGAGTTTATCATGCGTTGTTATGATGATTCCTTCCCCAAACTTGTCAAATTGTGGCCGTCCAGCTCTACCAAATATCTGCATGACATCTAAAATTCCAAGGTCAACAAAGGAGCCTCGTTTTGCATCATATATTTGTGTTCCCTAGATGAGGAAAAGTTAACAAAAATTTACATAGACATACACAAATATAATCCTGATACACTGAATACTGAAATTAAGCAAATACGGCAAGATTTCAAAAGTGTACCTTACCTAATCCTTTCATCATCTGTGACAGAGTTAAATGCTCACAATATAAACTAGATTTTCATTGGAAAAAATAATTCTGACCTTAAATAAACAGTGTTCAAAGTCAAGGAAATAGCCAAATCACAATGTTTTCTAAATAAATCAATCCGGACGTTTGTTTTAGGACACACACAAATCCATCTGCAAAGGAAGATAAGCTCTTACCTTGATAATAACAGCATGAGCAGGAAGATTGACACCCCACGCTAACGTGGCTGTACAGACCAGGACTTTGATATGCCCATTAGAAAACAAGTTTTCAACCAAATTTCTATCCTGCCGGAGCATTCCTGCATGGTGAATACTAAAACCATCTGGGAATAGTTCTCGGACTTGCTTATTTCTTGACTTTTGCACCTACGGTAGATGTTAGCAAACATAAAAGTATGTTACTTAGCTTTTAAAAGCAACTGTGTTAAAAATAATATAAAGAATATATATATTTTTAAAGACCAGTAATGGTGTTTAGCATTTCTGCTGAATGAGTTTATCAAAGAAAGCATACAATTGTTTTAAGTAATATTTTTGCATTTATTTTAAAAAACCTATATGAGTAGATTTCATATTTATCACAATACAGATTTAGTAGTATAGGGGTTCCTCCCTATCTCTCTTTCTGTTTTTTCCCTTATTTTCCTCCAAATTATTACAATAGCATATCCATTTGCTTCACAGTGACAAGTTTAGTTTTCCAACATATAAAACATATCATGACTTGAAATATGTAGAGAAAAAGAAAACAATAGCGTAAAAGTAGATTAAGATAAAAATGGAAATCCTACTGCTACTCCTCAGTATAGATGATTGCTGTAAAAAGCATCTAATTCCAAGTATCACATATTGGTATATAATGCTTTACATAAAATCATTACAATTATGCCATTGAGAAAATAATATTTGTACATGACATAAACTCAAAAGGAATTAAACGAAAAACAAGTGCCTCTTTCAGCCAAGTACTTCTTGCAATCAAGCACTGGTATCTGTTTCTTATACCTCTAGAAATACTCTCACTGCAGCATAAATCGGGGCTAGTGTTGTAATGCATTGAGTTGAGCTGATGCCTCCAACATCATCATCCCATATGAACACTAGTCTGAGACTTGGTTGCTCTACTCCCTATTCAGCCTCACAATGCATCTGGGAAAGCAGTGGGAATCCAGTGTCCACATGGGAGATCTGATCCGTCTTCGATCTGGCCCAACCCCAGCCATTGTGGCCACTTGTGAAGTGAACCAGAGGAAGATCTCTGTCTCTTACTCTCTTGTCTGTACTTCAAATGGGTAAGTTAAGCAAACAAACAAACAAAAAACAAACCAAAACAACCCTTAGTGATTTCCCAACTTCTTTAGAGTAAAAGCCAGAATCCTTGTAATTAACAGACTTACAAAACTCGATCCCTAACCTCAATTACCCTCCTCAGCCACAACATCCAGCTTTTCTCTGTCTTCTTTCTGACAAACTTCTATGTATGTTTTTGTTGTTTCTATCCTAGACCCACTACACAGAAGACTCGCCCCACTCCCTTGCAAAGAGGTCCCATTGTTTCCCAGGGTCTCCATTGCTTAGAATGAGTTTGTAAACCCAATGCTGCTCACCTCCAGCTGTGTTCCTGGGGATCACTGAAGGGAAGGCAATGGCCATCATCATCTTAGCTTTTCAACTCAACATCCACCCAGAATATATAACCTGACTATCTGGGGTTGGTTCCTTGGCCTAGTTTGGGCTAAGATGAGGTATCTGGCTTTTCTGTTTTAGCAAAACACCTTTAAACGTTTATGAAAGCCTACTGTACAAAATCTAAGTGTTTTCCATAAAAATGAAAGATTTAAATTGACATTTTTTTTAAAAATCTACATTTTTATAGTTCTTGCCTGGGTTTGATGTATTGTGCTAATCTGCTCCTATTCTTTTTTTTTTTTTTTTAAAGATTTATTTTTATTATTTTTTTCATTGGAAAGGCGGATATACAGAGAAGAGATACAGAGAGGAAGATCTTCCATCCGATGATTCACTCCCCAAGTGAGCCGCAACGGGCCGATACTATGCCGATCCGAAGCCAGGAGCCTCTTCCGGGTCTCCCACGCGGGTGCAGGGTCCCAAAGCTTTGGGCCGTCCTCAACTGCCTTCCCAGGCCACAGGCAGGGAGCTGGAAGGGAAGCGGGGCTGCCGGGATCAGAACCGGCGCCCATATGGGATCCCGGGCGTGCAAGGCGAGGACTTAACCACTTGCGCCACCGCGCCGGGCCCATCTGCTCCTATTCTTAAACCTCGCTATCAATCAGCAATATAACATATTCATTTTGATTTACTTTTCTTTGTTTTTTTTTTCCCTCTCTCTTTTTAAAACAATTTGTACATAAGGGGCACCCAATGAGCAAGGAGTATTTTCAGGGGGTTGAAGTTGTAGTTCAGATTTTGTCATACTAGCTCTTGAGCCATTTAAAATGTTAAACTCATGGGCCCGGCGGCATGGCCTAGCAGCTAAAACTCCTCGTCTTGAACGCACCAGGATCCCATATGGGCGCTAGTTCTAATCCCAACAGCAGCTCGACTTCCCATCCAGCTCCCTGCTTGTGGCCTGGGAAAGCAGTCGAGGATAGCCCAATGCTTTGGGACCCTGCACCCATGTGGGATACCCGGAAGAAATTCCTGGATCCTGACTTTGGGTCGGCATAGCATCGGCCGTTCTGCTCACTTGGGGAGTGAATCATCGGACAGAAGATCTTCCTCTCTGTCTCTCCTCCTCTCTGTATATCTGACTTTCCAATAAATAAATAAATCTTTTTAAAAAATGTTAAACTCATGAATTAATAATAACGAACTAAAAAAAGGTTTAAGAAAATGGTACTCCGTGAAATCTGCTTCAATCCTAAAACCAAAAGTAATACATTAAGTAACCACACCATCTAGTGGCCACCTAGTAAATAACAACTTACACATTTTGAGCCTTGTAGAAGACAAAGAAAATACAAGTCAGGCCAGGTCTCTGTGGGTTCTGAATCCCTATATTCAACACAGAATAGAATGAAAATACTGCCCTCCCCAAATTCACCTGAACTAAACATGTACAGGCTTCACCCTTTGCCGTTACTCCTTACACAGCACAGTCTAACAACAGTTCACACTGCACATACATTGTATTAGGTATTATAAGTAACCAGAGATGACTTAACACTATCTGGAAGCACAAATTAAATGAAAACATCACACAGTGATTTATATAAAGAACTTGGGCAATCCAGATTTGGGTACTTGAGAAGGGGTCCTGGAACCAATCCCCCATGGAGACTGAGGCACCAATGTTTATGTGTACTCAACAAAGCAAAGTGTTTTTGAAGTTTCTAGAGGATTTTCCTACCTTTGCGCAGTGTGGTGAGCCTGACAGAAATCACTTTGTGCTGACACTTACAACTAGCCATACTTGGATTCAAAGTGCCTGACCTTACTTCTTCTCAGGGAAGAGACACTGTCATACTTTTAAATGTCATAAAGCGACACTTACAGATATGGGACAACTCTGATGTACAGTCTGTTGTGTAGCATTTGCCAAGCTCTAACGTAGCTCCTCAAGGCCAAGAACAGATGGAATGGACATTTCAGCTGCTCTTCTTCCTCTGTGACATTCAGGAGTGGGCACTTGGGCCCAACAGAGGAAACTAGAAAATACTGCTTGGAGAAGTCCTTACAAATCAAGTAGTTGGACTGTCTGAGGTGGAGATAGCTGTTTGTGGGTCCCCTACACAGGACTATCGCAGTGTGCTTGATGTAAAGGTAGATTGCAGAGGGATCTGTCTAGGCCTGCTGTGGCACTAAGGAAGCAGCAAGAAAGCACACAGAAAGGTTGTAACTGGGTTCTGCATGTAGCCAGCTCCAGTGGCCATCAGTTGGCTACAATTCTCATTTCTGGAACAAACCATAAAGTTCCTTAAATAAAAACATGCATTTTAAAATTTACTTCACCTTAACAATACAAGACAAAATCTGAGCTTTGGAAAATCTGAAAATAATCCAAAATGATATAAGTTGTGTAAGGAAGAGACTTTCACATAAATATTTTCTAAACAATAACAACAATAATCCTTCCACTTCGGGCATGTGGACAAAGGTAAAAGTTGGTTATTTATGACAATGATCTACAGATTGCTTGCACTTGTACTGATAGCACCTAACAGAATACTTTTTGTTTAGCTTCCACTTCCCACACATTTCCTGAATGAATGAAATCAATGACCCATCAGTCTTATCAGAGAAGTTTTTGCTGAAAACGTGTGATGAGGGTTAACTGGAGGAAAGCGGGCAGTGGATGAGCAAGCACAGAAGTCCGGACAACTGAAAGAGACGTGTCTGGAAGGCAATGTTAAGGCGATATGAAGTAAACGGAAGAAAGTCTTCAGCCATTAAGGAAGACTGAGGTCAGGACTGATTCTGTCTCCAGCACAGGTGTATAGGAGTACTTAAAAATTTTAAGAAGGCTGAGTGGTTTTTTGTTTGATTGTTTGGTCTAGAGAGGGAACTTTACAGTTGTCAACCTAGGTGAAAAGACGGAGAAAGGGGAAACAGAGATCATCACAGCCAGTCAAGGCAAAGGACGTCTACAAAGAAACCAACACTGAGTGGTGAAACCAAAGAGGGGCATAAGCAGAATGGGAAGAAAGAGGAGTTGTTTAAGGTTAATCCTTGCCTGGATGCAATGGATATATTATAGCGAAAACATATTTTCCCTTAGGCTAGAAACTAAGAAGATGGAGAATAGAGTCTGTTTATTATACAAGTTTGAAGCCACCACTTACAGATTCTGGCTGTGATTTTGAATAAATGGAGAGCCACCAAAGATTTCTGGTCAGGACAGTGTTGGGAGACCAGTTAGGTCCCATAATTGGAAAATTCAGGGTGGGATGGAAGGGCAGATTGGATGAGATGTAAACAACAGAATGAAGTGAGTCTCAATCCTTTCATAAAACAGCAGGTCTGAAGTACTTATTTCACTAAATAAAAATGTAACAGTGAGTTAAGCATCTGACTCAATAAGTTACAAACGTAAAAAGATAATAATCCCAAGGAAAGAAGGAATGACTTACTAACATAATAAAACCTGCTGATTTGTGAACTGTGAAATTGTTAAATATAAACACTTATTTTAAAGAAAGAAATTAAACAGTAACAGACAATGACAACTGCTGGCTAGTGTTATGTGACAGTAAACTACAGGACAAGACTATTTGACAATACGCCACAGGGCCATATAGATTTGTGATGTACTATCTGTAGCTGCTTTGAGCTGTAATAGCAGAGCTGGATAAACAGTTGTGACAGAGATCAAAGGTCCACCAGCATACTATATCTATCATTTGGAA